GAAACTCCAAACCCTAATTTAGGATCAGCCACTATATAAGGAACATGTTGGTTCACCCCTCAGCCTCCTTATGCTCATCCTCAACCTCAGAGAAACCCTAGATCACGTATTCTCTCCATACTCGGGTGTGTTTGACCTTGGAAAGCTCTTGTTGGCAAAAGAAAGGCTTGAAGGAGAAAAGGGAAGTTGTCAAAGAAGATGAAGAACTTGTGGGGCTTATAGATCTGAAGAAATACCACCCTTTGGAGCTTATTTGAGGTATAAAGCTTCTTGCTTGACCTTCATATTGCATAGATCTATGTATTTTGAAGCTTTGTCACCATTCTTGTCCCAAAAGTCCTCACCTTGTTGCATATTTCGATTTGGTCAAGATTATCTGTCCTTTCAGACCTTTGGAGAGGTCTTGAGTGATAAAAAGAGGTCCCAAGGACTGTAGTTGTTCCATGTATGAGATATATAGGTCTTAATTGATTAAGACCTTGGATTAAGAGCTTAAGGACGGCCCAAGTGATAAAGTATGAGACTTTATGAATTTTAGTCATATTTGACCTATGGATCTGAAGTTTGGGCTTAAGAGCTTAAGCCATTAAGAGGTTAGAAAGACTTAAGGAATCTCGCAGTTACACCCCCCGTAACCTTCGAGTACGCCCCACGTAGCGGGCCAGTGCCCCGTTTTCTTTTGGTGATCATTGCAGTACGCCCAACGTACCAAGGAGGGAACGCCCAGCGTACTCCTCCTGTGGACTTTAATTTTGGACCTCTTGAGTTGGGCCATTTGTGGGCCGTTGGTGTTTGGGCTAAGTTTGGAAATTATGAATAGAGTATTTTTGGCCCAATTAATGTAATGGATATTGGATCTAGGCCCATTTGGTGAGGTGGGACCAATTTGGTAAATTGGGCCAATGTTGGACTTGTGTGAGATTTGGACTTTGGTCTTGGCCCGATAAGTGGAAGTATGTTTGACCTAATGCTTACTCTTGTTATGTTGGTTAGTTCGGGATTTGTGGTGAGTTGGTAGTTTGAGAGTCTGCTTATTCCGTTCAGAGTATCGGCATTCGCGAGGTGAGTTATCCTCACTATATCGACAGGGTCTAAGGCACCAAGGCCGACCCTTTATTGGATTGAGATTTGGATATTGTTGTTATGTTATTACTTTGATATGTCTGCCTCCTGGAAGCTAGGATGGTATATGCTAGAGACCTGGTTAAGGTCGGTTTCCCGATATGTAGATTCATGCTATGCTAGTGACCGGTTAGGTCGGTAACCTGGTTAGGGTAATGATATGTTATGTGATCTACTTGATCGGTTTGTTGACTATGAACTGTTATATGATTGTATGTTATGTGCACATGGTTGTTTGGACTGGAGTTGGGTTGAGGCGGCTCCTGCTTTGTGCTGTAGGCCAAGATACCCAGGGCGGACCGGTTGTTCCGAAGGCCCAGCGAGCGGTCCGAATAGGTTGTAGGCCCCACGAGGGCGGAACAGACGTACCGAGGCTCGGAGAGTAGACCAGGCTGACTGAAGGCCCGATGCAGGTGGACCAGTCATACTGTAGACTCAGAGAGTAGACCAGGTGGGTTAAAGGCCCGGTGCGGTCGAACCAACCACACTGTAGACTTGAAGGATATGACTAGACTCGGAGGGTGGACCCGGTGGACTGAAGGCCCGATACGGCGGACCAGTCACACAGTAGACCCGATATGCATGGCTGTTCTATGTTCTGTTATGTTATGTATGCTTTTTATGCTATGGGCCCGAAGGCAATATGTTATGGGCCGGAAGGCAATATGTTTTGGAACGGAAGGTCGTAGCCTGGAAGGGCGTATATGTGGTTGGTATTTTGGGGGTATCTCACTAACCTTTCGGGCTTACAGTTATGGTTTAATGTTTTTCAGGTTCTTCAGGAGACCGTGGCAAGGCAAAGGCGTGATCGTACCGCTCCTCGTGTTTATATTTTATGATATGCACCTGGGAATACTCTGATAATAAATGTATTGAAAACCTTTTTGTATTAACTTAATGAATTGGGATGTTTTCGAAAAGTTTAAATTATGTTGAAATTTTGGTCGTTACAACTTTAAAGGTCAACATAAATGATTACATTATGAATATGCATGCCCCATGCATGTGCTAAACTCACTTTAGATCAAAATACCAAGAAATGGCCCTAAACTCATGCAAGATTCATGAATCACAACTAAACATCAGATCCATAAAGTATTATGCTCAAGGGACCCTTAAAGGCCAAAACGTTGCCAACTATATAAAGTTCCTCCATGCAAACAATCATAATCATGAAGGAAAAGGGACAAACAACCAAGATCTAGCAACTTATACACATAAAGGTTGAATCTTAAACACTTACAATAGTCCACAATGTGCATAAGATGATGATGATGAAGCCTCCTTGTTGGACCAACATTCTAGATTACCTTCTTCTTCTTCTTCTTCTTCTTCTTCTTCTTCTTCTTCTTCTTTTTCTTCTTCTTCTTCTTCTTCTTCTTCTTCTTCTAGCCAATAAAACACCAAGATGGACCCAAAACCACCAAGATGGATGAGGGTTAAGGTTTTCTGGGTTGGAGGGAGGTGGAAGCTGAGAAATGAACCCTAAAATAGAGTTAAGGGAGCTTAAAAATGAGAGAGACCCTAAAAGTTCATAGGCTTGCACTCCGACGTTCCCCACACCGTGTTCTCCTATTGCTTACATCATGAGCTCAGTCCGGCACAAAATTCTTCATGCATCCCATCTCACATCATGAGCTCTTATGTCTCACATCATGAGCCTCCTTTATCTCCAAAACATAACCTTTTGACTCCTTGAAGGTCCAATTCGATTCTTCAACGACTACTTGTGTTACAACCCTCCCCCATTTAAAATAGATTTCTGGTGATTTTTGGTTGTAGCATCTACTCGATAACGTCGGGCCAAGATTGCTTCTTAAGTGGGACACGGATGGATAACAATAGCATCGTCGCACACCATGTCGTCGCTATTACATGCATGAGAATCAACCCGAATCATTAGATCTTGTGGGAAATGTAAGGTCATGATTAATTGTAACAGATGTTCGTCGGATTGCCGGTTGTTATCATTAGTGATATCACTATTAGCGGTGACTAGTCTCTTTAGCGATGTACATAACACGTGTTATCTGATGTCGTTCCTAATTAATGGGCTTATTTATTGTTGTGTGCAATTGACATCTTTATCTTATTTCTTTGAATCTTCGTTTTCCTTTAACTATTCAATATCACTAAATCCTCAGTAGAAACAATGTTTTGAAACATCATCTAGAGCTCAAACAGGGGAAAAATTGTCTAATTTATAGTTAAATGATTTTTTTTTCCTATCTTGGTACTGTTTATAGGTAGGATTTTGGTCTTATTTCTTGATACTTTGATGTAGATCTTACATGCATGAATCTATACACATGGGCTTCTATCTGGAAAATTATTTCATATACTTTTCTTTCTAATTTTATTGAAAGATACCGGTGATCATGGTGACCTATAATGTTATCTTTAACCTTTTAAAAGCAAAGAAACATTGCTTTATGGAGATACCCACTCAGTGTTTGACGTTATGTCTCGAGTGGTTAAGTAAACACCTCCCCCTTTGTTTGATGCACATTAATGTTTGTTGATAATGCATAAGTGAATATATGTAAGAAACTGAGTCTAAAAGACTTCTTAAAATAAAATCATTAACATGTTTTCACTCAAAACATCATGATTCAGTAAAACACATTAGTAATAGTAATTGCTAGCTAATAGACTCTTATTAAATGTTACTTGTGTAGTTTTATTTATTTATTTCTATACTAAATAAGCTATTATAAACCTATTTTAGATTTTTGTAAAAGAAATATATAGAGAGGACACAAAATATGTCATGGTAACTCGATGTTTCCTGTTAATGATTTAATCTAAGCACTAATGCATAACCATTTATTTTAGATTTTATCTCACTATGAACTCAAACTATGTATACTTACTTTTCACTTTTTGTAGTAACATATAATGCTATCAGTGATTCTAAATTCTAGAAACTACCATTTATTTTGGAAATTTTTAATTTCAGCAAAAGTACATTGCTATTTAAGAATATAATGACTTTTATGTACTCTTGTTTGGTATGTAGTATTTGAGTAGACAAAAGTTGAAGAGTACTAATTTATCAAAGATGGTATTTTCTCTAACTTTAACTTTTGATGACAACACTCTACATGGAAATAAAAATGTGTGTTATTGTTATTTAGATGGTTGGCGTTCTATTTCGACAAAACAAGTTTTAGCCACATAAAAGTTACAAATCGAACTAGAATTAGAAAACGAAAGGTCAAAAGGCTTTAGATTAGGCAATTAAGGTAATTAAAGAAGAGCAACTACCACTTCAAGACAAGTAGATCAAATATCGAGAAGAGCAAAATAAGAAAATGGAATTCATGATGAGTACTTTCACGTTTATCTCAATTACATCGATCAATTGAATTTATTTTAAATTCATATTTACCTATATATATATATATATATATATATATATATATATATATATATATATATATATATATATATATGTTTTCTGAAAAATTGGACAATGTATGGATGTTTTTTTTAAATTACATTTAATAATTTATATTATAATTGGGATGATTTGTTTGGTTATTTTTGTTATGTTGTAAAGGTTCATAGCATTTGCCTTTTCTCAGGATTTCTTTATTATTGACATTTTTGGTTTTTAACAGTAAATATTTAGTGATGATCTTTTTGGTCTCTAATAAAGATAAATAGTGACAACTTGCATTGATTAGTAATTACATTTTGATGTCATTAACAAAAAAATTTATAGTGTAAAATGTTTTGATAAATTTTTTGAACCATGTTCAAATTCCAGTACTACTCGGTCTCTGTGGCCATAGAGGTTCGTCTGCAGTGACTCCAAAGGATGAAACATAACCCCATGTTTGCTGCAGGGGATTAGTCGATGTGTGAAAGCTGGTCCGAAACCTTAGTTATGGAAGTTCTCTTTCCAAATAACAACAAAAGAACATAAAATAATTTCTAAACAAAATAAAAGAAATTAGTACAAGATTTCAAACAAAATCAAAGTACGTATAGCAACACATGTTTTTCAACTTTCATTCTAGAACACAACTACAGTCACAACTTCATAGGGATAACCATGAGTGGTTCATCCTTTTGCAATGTGATCCCGTACTTTTCTCCCATATCAATATCTTTAGGTCTCGTATTTCCCACAACCTTCCAATCAAACTTATGAATTAATGATGCCAATATTATGTGTAGCATTCTATTAGCAAGATTCAATCCCGGACACATTCTCCTTCCTGCACCAAATGGAATAAGCTCAAAATCTTGGCCTTTATAGTCAATCTTCACGTCCAAAAACCTCTCAGGCATGAACATTTTTGTGTCTGACCATATATTTGGGTCTCGACCCATAGCCCAAACGTTACACAGAATTTGTGCATTTTTAGGCACAATGAAACCTTGAATAGAAACGTCATGTATGGCTTGGCGAGGGATAAGAAAAGGGGCTGGAGGATGAAGTCTCAGAGTTTCCTTAATCACAGCTTGTAGGTACGTGAGTTGAGAGATATCAGATTCTTGTATGCTTCCATTGTTGTTGTTTTGCATCAGTTTATCGACCTCCAACCTCGCTTTTTTCATTTTCTCAGGGTTACGAATCAGTTCCGACATCGCCCATTCTAATGTGCTTGATGTAGTGTCCGTTCCCGCTATAAATAGTGTCTGTAAATCAAAACCTTAATCAATGCATGTGCTATTATAGACAATATTTTATAAATATTAAAAGGTTTTACTTACTAGAAGTAAGTGTCTCATATCATTTTGAGTAAAATTGGATTGTTGGTCAAGCATTAAGTCTAAAACATCATTGCTTTTGGTTGAAACGCCATTAGATCTAGTTCTCAACCTGTCATTGATGATCTTATCGAAAATAGCCAACATTTTCTTAGCATAAACACTTTCCGACCATATTAACCCTAGTGGATCCAACGAGTGAAGTATAGGAAAAAGGTCAGGTAGACCTGGCTTTGCACCAACTTGCATCACTTGTAGTACTAAGTCTTGGAATTGTTGTGTTGATTTTGGACCATATTCAGCAAGATCAATCGAAAACATAAAGTTGGACAGGATGTTGAGACTCGTTGTGAAAGCACATGCCCCAACGTTCAAAGGTTTTTCCTCTATACAACATCGATTAACATGGTTGACAAGTTCTTGTACCTAGAATATATAAATTCGAGAACATAATTAGTTTCAATGTATCATTTTTATTTTATTCTATTTTTAACAATATAATAGCGTTGATGGATCTAATTTATACCTTCTCCCGTCGTAGTAATTCACTAGCGTCTAGTTGTTGAACAGAGAACATATATTCCTTGGTCATTCTTCTCAATTTTCTCCATTGATCTCCCGCCTCCATCCAAACTATAGAGTATTTATGATAATCTCCGAGTTGGATAGCCTTAGGAGCTGATCGGTTTAAGAAGGCTACATCATGTGTGTTAAAGAATTCTTTGGTGATATCAGGAGATGAAATGACTATGGTCGTATTGCTTCCGAGCTTCAGTGACATTAAAGGACCATAACGTTTAGATAATATGGCAAGTGATTGGTGGGGTTTGTCACCGAATTCTAAGAGGTTTCCGATGACCGGAAAACCTTTAGGTCCCGGTGGTAACCGTGAGTTGCGCCGGTTGGAAATGATGCAGGCATAGATGGCCACTGGGAAAAGACAAGATACTACGAGGAAGAAGGCCGTTTGATACTCCATTATTTTACGCGGATGTTGTTTTAATTCGTTCATCTAAACGTCTTCAGAAGTCGTTCATTTATAGCCACGAAAGTCATAATAATGGTCCCTATTAGTTTACCTAAAATCTTATGTTTGCTTCATATTTTGAAAAAAATCCCACTTTCGTCCCCAAATTTGACCTTTATTGCACGATTTGTTTTATGTGTGAGATAAACACAATTTGTTCATCATCACCAGTATCGTCTTTCTCATTATGTATCAAAAATTGAGATCCTGCCAACACTTTCCTCACCCCCCAGCATAACATACGAGCTTCATGAGAATCTCTTTGACGAAAATTGCATAGATTTCCGATATAATTGCTATTTTAGTTTTTTTACATGAAAATTCTGATAACGATGAATACTGCAAATTGTAATATAAGCATTAGTGGTTGTATTATTGGTTTTATTACACATACTTCCAATTCAACTTGTTTACGTTTAATGATTAACCATAAAACAATTATTGATAATATAAAAATAAGTCTAATTTTAAACATATTAACAAGATTGTTTTAATGGTACAGCTTACTATATATTTAAAAATATACAACTTGATAAATTAAGTTAATAAGATAATTGAACATGATTGAAATTGAAATTTGAAGAAAAGAAGATGAAATGTGAAACATGAAGACAGAATAAAGGGGATATGCTGAAAATTGCTATTCAATTCAACGATCAATATCCGGAACCTAGAAGCGGTCAAACTTTGCTTACGATCGATGGGTAGTTTTTTTATGAACAATTTCTGAATTTCAAAGAAAGTTTAGACCTTGACTCCTTCAATTTGTATACTATGTTCTTAATAAATAATACAGTGCTTAACGGATTAACTATCTATATAATATATAAATGTACCATATCGAGATATATATTCAAATCGGTAGACCAAATTTGAGATTTTGAATAAAGTCATAGGGACCATTCTTGTAATTTACTCGGATAAGTATATCTTTAAAGTCTATGCTCGTAAAACACTCTTTTATTTTACTTGCCATGTAAATAACACATAATACTTTGAAACTATATTATGAAGTATCCGTAGGTAATATGTAGATATGAGCTAAATAAAGATTATTGATGTGATTGTAGGTGTCCTAAGAGTTGAAAACCAATCTTAGCTACTTATGTGGTTTTATCCTATGTAACTGTTTCAGGTGAGTCTCTTCAATGTACTCGTGGGTAGAAAGCACAAATATCAGCCCATTGAAACATGTTTGTAGGATGATTGTTGTCTTTGTGCCACTTCATGATATGTCGTTATGTACTTGATTGTCTTTGTGAATCTTGATGATATCACTATATGTTTTATGTATGCGGGGGTTGATACGAACCCTACACAACTACATGATGTTATATAGAGTCATTATGGACTCGAGTGTTGATACGGATCCGACAAAGCTACATGTCGTCATATTGGGTTGATACGGACTCGACACAACTATTTGTTGTCATATGGGTTGATACATACCCGAGGGTTGATACGGATCCCACACAACTACATGCGGTCATATGGGGTTGATACAGACCCGACACAACCACGTGTTGTTCTATGTATATGTGTGTTGTATGGGGTATTTTGGGGAACTCACTAAACTTTGTGCGTATGGTTTTATGTAAATTATTTCAGGTTTTCTTATGTCGAAGGAAGGCACCACTTGATTGCATCATATCCATTGGAGAATAGTGTACTTGATAATTTTTATGTATATATTATGATAAATGTTCTAATCCAATGGATTTCATTTAGATCTTGGAAGTTGTAATAGTAATAAATGCTTTTGTTTTAAAGGAAAATTTTGGGTTGAGATTTGGGACATTACAAGTTGATTTCAGAGTCTTGGTTTGAGGAATTTGGGCACACTCTCGAGTGTGTCTGAACTAACACCGAGGACTTTGTAATCCTTTTGAAAAAAAAAATATCTAAGAAGATTTCTATAAAAAAAGGTGTGTTGTGTGCAATCAACCAAGCTCAAGTAAGTGATTCTTAAAATACCCATACGTAAGTATATGACTAGTATGCCTATTGTGTGAAATGCATGATAGAGTAGGGCTAAGGATACCTTCAGGAATCATATGCTAGAATTTCCTGATTTGTGATGCCTTGTAGCCTAGGAGTTATTGGATGCTATATCAAATTTCGAATCTATGCTGGCTGAATTCATTGTTAAGTGTACGCTTTTGGATTATATACAATTAGGATCATATAGCCCTAGATGGACTGATTTTTCCTTCTTTCATGTTCCTTGTCTGGTTTTGGGCTTAGGGTAGATAGATCGGACGGTAGTGGACATGAGTAGTGACTTAGAGGATCCGAAACGATTCTTAAGGAGGGTACGGATAGGTATGGAAGGTAGTATAGAGCCCATACTACTAAAAGCATACGATCCGTACTCGAATCGAGGAAAATTTTGGGGCTTCTAAGGAGCTAATTCAGGATAGATCGTATGGTTCAGAACCATGATTCATTGTAATGTGTTTTCGTCTTATTCAGTTTATCGGTTATAGATGTTCATGCCGATGATGGTTTTCATGATTGTTTGGGCCTTAGTGGCCATATTAGTTTGGGTTTGAATGGTTCAGACCTAGGTGACTTAGTTGGTTTGAGCTCTTGAGGGCCTTGCTCGAGGTAGTTCAAGTTTAGTCACAAGACTCAAGAAGGAAATGATTATGATGATCGTCTCGAGGATTCCAGCTGGAGATTGAGTGATTGGCAAATGGATTAGGATATCACTATCTACATTGGGGGTTGTATTCTTCCAGCTTTCTATGTTCGGAGGAGAGAGAGAGAGAGAGGGGGGGAAAGAGATAGATACATAGAGAGAGAGAGAGAGATTATACATGTCATTTTAAGAGTTGGTGTGTAGACCCAACATGGGGCTCGATAGTTGTAGTTTTTTGGCGGCAAGTATAACAGTGTAAGAATGCACAAGAGGATCTTTGTGGTATGGTTTAATTAAGATAAGACTAAGTGTCTGCTTTCTTTGAATATGGTCAGGTAAGGTGGTAATTGATTGTTTCAGTCGATCAGGGAATTGAATCGGGAACAACAACTTTTGTTGTCTCTCATGTATCCCGACTATGAGAATGATGCCTCTTGTATTATGTATTATTCTTGCGATAAACTATGGTTGGGGATTTGCAGACGAGGTGTGTGGTAGTCCATTTCTTCCTATATAGTGAATCGGTGTTATAAATGGACAAAATTATTGCTTGTGCATCAACAGGAGGTTCTTGATGTTAGAGGCCGTTATGATTTGGGAGTTTCCGAGGTCTCCATCTGTGATTCAGAATCTCTTTGAGTTTGTTTGGTTTTTATCTGGAATATCATTTGCATTGTGTTATACATTTCATGGGTCTGGGATGTTATGTATCTGGTATAGCCAATCATGTTTGCGACGTTAGTTGGTGGTAGTTCGAAGCCTAAGTAGGGGAGAACTGAGTATTCTGCTTCGGTGATCGTTGGTCTGCTTGATTTTTTTATGATATCAATAGAATGAGTCAGAGAAATCTATAGGTCAAATATGCAAGGTTATAGTTTAGGTTTATTTATGCATAAGTGAAGCAATGTAGACAACCCATCAAGTGCTCGTAGTTAGGAAATCTCCTTGTTACGCTTCTCAAGGGTCCGTTGGATCCTTCAAGATCTGAAGGAATTAAAAAAAATGGTCAAATCAAGGGTGCAGAGCAAGTTGCCATGAGATTTTTGTCTTCAGGAATGCATAGGTTGTCCTCGCAGTCAAATGTTGTTATGCAAGGAGCTCGTTATGGCTAGTAGTTCCTTTTGGAAACGCCAAGTATTAGGTCAAGAAGCATTTGGGCCTCTTCAGTTGGTATCTGTTATTGAGAGTTAGGTTAGCTTGCAGTATGTATCACTATCTATGGTCAAGGATGGGCAGTTGCCAATTGTTAATCGATTGCATGAGTGGGGTTAAAATATGTGGGATTATTTACGTCTTTAAGGACAGGTTTCATATTGGAATTCGACATACAGGTATTTAGTAGTGAAGTTTGAGTTTTACTAGTGCATTAACATAAATTTTGAGGTTTATCGATCGAGATTGTTTGGACAGTGGTGGATCAGTCGGTTTTAGTGTTTCGCGGACAGCAATGGTTATTTGAAGTATTTGGCATGAAGTAATAGAATTTCAGATGTCAGAAGCGTTGTTTCGTCAATTCTCCATGTGTGGCCTTGATTTTACCTTAAGTTCAGTTATAGGTTGCAGCATGTTGGATTAGGTGTCTAAGCCCATAACTATAATTGGTATGTACTTGACGCGATAGTAACATGGTCCATTTTGGGTTGCATTAAATAGAACGATTTCATAGGATGGATATTTGAGAAAGAGGTTATTTTTTATTTATTAATATATTATAAGTATAATATATTAATTGAGAAATCATATTATTTAATTAGTATTGATCAAGAACTAATTTGGAATTAATTTAGTGATCAAAATAGACTGATTAAATTAACAGGGACTAATTATGTAAATCAGTGATATATATGTTTTGGGCTAATGATCCATGATTGAATTGTGATGGACTAAGATTATAAGACCGTCCATGAAGTGTTAGTTAAAATCAATTGTTGGATCATAAGCCTATGTGTAAGAATTAGGGTTTACAAGTGACTCTTGGAATTCTACACTATATATGTAACCTCTAAGCCCCTAAAATCAGACCCAAGAGTATTCTAAGAGGTAAAGCCAATTTTTTGGTGCTCCAGGCTCTCTCTCATGGTATCCAATTGTTGGTGGTGTTTTGTGAAACATTTGAGGCATCAAACTTGATGTCCTCAACTCTTGAAAGGCCAACTTGTACAAGCTACATGAAGAGGTAATCATCTAACTAGTTTTATAATTCAAATATCAAATTTGTATGCTAGTTAGGCTTTATGCTTTGGAAAAATGAAATTACATGTATAATTATAGAAAAATTAGATCCAAAGCATTAGGGTTGTATATGCACCATCGGGATGTTATAGTGCTCAAAACCCATCAAAGGTATCAAAGCCTAGGGTGTTTTCTATTA